GTTTGAAACCATGTGCTTCCATCCAAATGTTGATCAGTTTGGGAACATTTGCCCTTATATTCTTCAGGTATCAAATTAAGCAAGTATATTGGTTTTCGGTTAAACCATTTGCTCTTAACAGCATGAGAATGAGATTGGGAAAAGAAACCTTTACTATTGAAGTGTTTGAACCTATTGCCTTGGTGGATATTGGAATTATAACATATTTTTAATTTTCATAGAATAGATTTACTACAGAACCAAGGGAACATTGGTAGTGGAATTTTTTTATATAAATGTTTATTAATTAAAGTTCTTTTGATATCTTCTGTACTGAAAACTCATCTTAATGTTGTAACAGGACAAATGCTCTTCTGCTTATGACCGCAAAACCATTCTATTGTCCATTCAAAATCTGTAAGATCTGGTTTCTCTTCCTTTCATCTTTAATTCATTACACTGGTAAAATATCCCTCTAAATTGACCAAGAACTCTTCTTGCATGCAAAGCTAATCCCAAGAGTACCCTTAACAGCCATGGTGCAAAACAATGGTGCAAAACAATGGAGCAATAAAGAAGGTTGAAGATTTAATCCTGTCATTTCCTGTATCATATCTGATCCTCATTGCTGTTATTTATTGCGTTTGAAGATTAAGTTTCAGAGTTTAATGTTCCTAGGTTGATAATTGTTTATTGACCTAAACGAGGTATTATGTACTATGTATATGTATTAAACTTTTAGGAATTTGATTATTTGGAAAAGACACGTTGTATTCATATACCAACTATACAATCTTATTCTTGCACAGAATTGCAACACAAGACTTTTTATTGTATAACTATTGAAATAAGCTTAACAGTTACGATTCTTTATGCTTATTCTATTATGGTTTCCATTTCCTCTTCACAATTACAACACTAGCTACAAGATTCAAAACCTTTGTTCGATAGGAATCATCAAATTTTCCTAGGAAGATTGAACTTGTACCCAGGGAATGGGACCTTGAGGACTACTACATGAAAGAATCTGGCAGGAGCACCGCCTTGGCTAGCTATTTCTATCATCATATTTCCTTCAATGTAAACGATAGTCATGGTAAATGCATTTCTGTTTATGCCATGGCTGTGTAATCTGCTATATTAGAGTGTCTTTTATATATTATTAATCTATTTCGACAAAACAGTTGGTTAATATATTTTAATTGCTACTGTTATATGTATATTTATTTAACAATCAAAACATATTGCTTAGTTATCGAGTGATTTAAACAAACTATTAACTATATAGAGTTTATGTTCGTTCTTTCTTTTTAATTTATAAAACTAGATCAGACTCATAAACATTTTCTTTTTTTTTTCTTTTTTTTTTCATTTGCCAAAATAAGGGATTTTTCTGATAAATACTTTTATACGCTTAAAAAAAAAAAAAACGCAAATCAAATGGAGTGAATGGTGTTTTATTATTTAGTGCCATTAGTCGCTCATTCCCTATGCATACTACTAGCGTATGAACCAACAACTATATTTTCGGACGATACTCAAAACGTGAGAATGGTGGATGCATCAAAAAACAACTTCAAATCAGCACTTCATGAGCATTGGTCAAATAATGCACAGTTGCACGCGCCAGTGACGGGACCTTGGGGTGGATCCTTTTCCATCCCTCTCTTATGGGCTTATTTGGTTTACCTCTCGTTGGTTTACCAACCAAACGGGCCTTTAAATTCGAATTGCTCAGCAGCTTGTACATATCCTCTTATTTTTGCTGCCCATCAACTATTTGTTGAAACTTGAATTGCCCAACAGATCCATTGCCTATTTTCAAAAAATAAAAAATAAAAAAGAAATGCCCTACAGATATTATGAGCCAAATCTGCACATAGAATTTCAGTTAATTTTTACTTAAGGTTTTTTAGTTTGTGCCTTTTTTTTTATTTTTGATAAGAAATTGAGAAATATATTGAACAATAAAAAAGTAGTTA